CTATTTATTAGAAAAGAATGAAATCTAAATGTGATTAATATGTACATAAATAATGCTCCTCTCTCTTTGTTGTGTGCAAGTGCCAGAGAATTATAATTCTTGCATGCAATAAGACTTATTTTAAGGTGAAATAATTACATGTTGTGTATTGTACTGGTCACTCAATATTTTGTTTCATTATTTTATTTGTTGGCCCATCCTTTCCCCCTCTTACCCGCAGTAACTCCATGCTTGGGGCGTAGATTAAATGCTGCCCACATTACACTGTTCGCGAGGTGCTGGGCATGACCATCCACGTTGCATACTAGCGCCTTACTGACGAACCTTCCGCAGTGCCAGGGGAGAGGGCCCCGCGCGCATGAGCGCCCTTGAGGTAGGCAACCTAACGTACATGCACGGTGCTTTGGCTGCCTCGCTGCCAGTGGGTGAGTGTAAGGGCCGACGAGTCGCCCGCACAGGAAGCAGTTTCGGATGTAACGATGATCCGTCCGCTGCATGCTGATTGCCCTGGCCGCTGTTGGCCCACACTTGGCATTTTTTTTTCGCCTTGGTGGACTGCATTATGTTGTCCCGGGCTGAAGGGCCTCCCTCGAGATTCTCGGTGACGATTGAGGTCTAACGCCTCGGCTAACGCTTGCGTGTGGTGGCGTTGTTATTTGTACATGCGCAGTGCCGCAGCCTGCCCAGCTGGCGCAGGCGCAGCCCTCCAGAGGCTCCCCGGCGGGTCCCGAGCAGGACTACACCAAGGTGCTGCAGCCCGTGATGGCCCCTGGGCCGGCGGGGGTCACCTCGGAAAAGGGCCCTCTTCTGGCGCCATACTGCATCGCTGACATCCCTAAAGGAGAACGTGAGTGTTTCCGGAGCTCGTGCCTTTCACTGATGTCATCTGCCCCCATCTCCCCCCCTGTCTCCGGTGTTTGCTTCAACGTCCGGCGTTCGATATGTTACAGCCCAAGATATGCTGCAGTTTGAGTTCAGTGACGCCTGAACATAACTGAACTGGGGGTGGACAACTCAGCTCCGAGCACAACCCTGCCTCGCCCGATGCATTGCCACTGTCCAGGTCCTTTAATGCCTGTACTCCATCTGGTCAGTGTTTTAGGAAACTAAACTTTTGTTGTTGTGAGTGCTGGTTTATGTTCACTAGTCAATTTCCTGTCGGTAGAGTACCTATAGTAAAATTATGTGAACTATTCAAGCTAGAAATGTATATTTAAATACTGTAGATTTTCTGACGAAATTGTTTTTAATGAAAATTGCCATTTACGGTTGTCGGTTTAATAATGTTTTAGCATTTGCTCAATATCGTAAAAGATACTTCTTGATGTCGCAAGCGCAAGCCAATAAAGAGCAACGCATCAGATTATTGTGAGAAACGCAGATGCGTCGCTTTAAGGTTCGAACTAGGTCGTTTTAACGCGGAATCCCACCCCGCGTGTGTGTGTATGCCACCAATGTATATTTAGAATAATGTGAGTCCTACAAGACTCTTGTGACTGGGCCGAGGGATTTAACAGCGTCAATCATCAAAGTTCTTGGCATGATTTGCACTGTTATACCCAGGGACCAGAAATGTATCTAAATGTTCTTCTCGTTTAGTATGAATTTGAAACTGGAGCCTCTTGATTGAATCCGAATTTGACTGAAAACCTTGTAGGGGTTGAGCTGTTGTAATAAATACGTATGAAAACATGCAGTATCGCATCGAATCTCTCCACCTATAATGTGAACTAATAAGGCCGGCGAGGTTCGGATTGTCGGAACCTCGGGCTGCCTCTCATCGGGTCGGGGCGAGACGGTGAGCTCCGCTAGACTCCGCGGCCGCGGCGGGCTTGGCGGCTTGGCGGCGGGGGTAAACGCGTGGCGGTGGCGAGGTGAGAGAGAAGACGGGACGGCCGGGCCAGCCGGAGGGGCCCGCGGGGCCGGGCCGGAGGGGCTCAGTCGCGCCCACCAGCCGTGCATGCTCACACACACACCGAGCACCTCCGCGACGCACCCGATGGTTCACGAGCGCGGACACGTCGCAGACTCAGGAGGACGTCGTCGGGAAGGTGTCGCATCCGCCACCGTGGCCGCCAGGCAGGTCGGAGAGTCCGTCCGCGTCCGCCACGAGCTCAGCGTGCTGCCCGGGGCTGCTGCCATGCGCACCAGCTGACTGCGACCGGCTCGGCTAGGCTCGACCGGCACCGGCTCCACCATGTCTCCGGTAAGTGCTGCAGGTGCTCGGGGCCTCGCCTCTACTCGACTTGAAGATGTTGAAGACGCGCACCGCAGCGCACGCCTTTAGGCCCGCCATGCGGAGTGGAGTGGTCGCGGTCGCGAACAGCTGGTCGGCCCGGCCCGAGGGCGGTAGGGCGGGGACACGTGCGTGCGTTGCGCTTCTGGGCGGCTTGGGCGGCCCGGCGGCCACGGGGTGGCGGTGGCGTGCGCTGCTGCTCCATGGTTAACTCTGGGGGTATCTCCATGTGCGGTGATCCCAGCACCATTGGCCCTCTCCATGTATACGCTGGATAAACAAGCTCCCTGTCTTCCACTGTTTCCACAAAGGTGTCCCCACAATGATAGTTTCACGCTAGCGACAGCGCCTGCGACACGCTGGGTAGGCTATCCCGCCAAGCAGCTATGTGAAGACGGTGGCCCGCCCAGAGCGCCGAGTGCGACAGAACGTTTGACGCTCGACGTCCCCACCCCTCGCGTCACCTCGGCAGACGTCCATTCTGAATTCTGAATGGAGAGGCCTCAATGGCCCTCTATTAGTTGGTTAGCATATCAGAATCAATGGCAGCCGCTCAATTGGGGCTTAGCAGAAACTACATATACATAAGACATCCTTTTTCTCTTCTGGAGCGAAAATGCCAATGAGAAGCTTCTTGGTAGCGGAAGTTCCCCCCTCCCCCTTTATGACCATCGAAGCTCGAAGCAATTTGGACAGTCTTCATTTTACCCACGAAAAGAAAGTTATTGGACTAGCATGAAAATTGCCGTCCTTTTGTCATGAGTGGTGCCGGCGCCCCCTTTTCTGATGGAATGAATACCACTCGCTACTCGCTAGTTCTCTAAACCCTACTCTACACACTCTCGCGCTCCGGGCCCACTCCATTTCACCTACTTCCGGGAGGATTCCCATGACCCATTTCATATTTATCACTTTTTTCCCGCCTTAATGTAATGAAGGCGGTGGCGAATACGTAACGCTAGGCGCCGGGTGGGTGGGGCTCTTCAGCCGCGCTCTTCAGCCGCGCTCTTCAGCCGCGCTCCTCAGCCGAGCTCTTCAGCCGCTCCTCAGCAGCGGGTATAAGAAGAGCCTTGCCGTTATTTAACTGACCCGCAGTCACGCAGCTCGCGGCTCTGGCAGCCGGCGGCCGCTTGCGGTCGCGCCGCGCGGGTCAACTACCAATAATTTCCATCTTTGTTTTCCCTTTCCCCTTTCATTCTTTCTCTCTTTCTTCATTTCTCCCTCTGTCCCCCTTGCCTCGAGTGAGATGTCGTCCCCCCAGACGCGCGCGTGACAGTCCGGTGACACGTGCTGAATCGTGATGGAAGGCCCTTGCGCGCCCCTCCCGCCCCCCGCCGCCCCTCCGCGCCTCTCCGTCTAGCCGGGTTGCAACACGGCCGGCCGGAAGGTGCGCACCTGCGCCGCGACCATCCTTGCGCCCCAGCCAATCAATCACGCCATCGGCCTCTTGCATAATTTGCATTTGTTGTTTCTTCAGTCAAAAAGGTTTTGGGCTCAGGGCCCCGCGCCCCGCGCTAGGCTTGGGGGCCGAGATCTCACCTCCGTACCTCCGTGTGCCGATGCAGGCGCGCGACCCGCCGTATGACCCGCCGCTCTGCCGCTCCGCACCGCGGAAGCAAGGGCTAGCCCCGTTAGTTGATTATTCTTGTTTTGGTTTTTTATCTCTGTCGAAAATAACGACGCATACGCCATGTGCCATGCGAGTTTATTATATTCCTTTTTGACAGCCGGCTGGGTCACAATGCGAGAGCCAAGGGGTCGCCCCGCGTCCCACATGAATGGACGTGGTCCGATATGCAATCTAATAATACACTCGCCAAAAAAGACGACGAGGAGACTGGCTAAGCGCGGCTTAATTGCCGCCCCCCCTCCCCCCATCTGGTCACTTCCCCGGGCCGCCTGTGTTATAAACAGGGGAATACGTGAGGAAAAGTGGTGTGACAACATGCACGTCCGGGGGAGGAGGACTTACTTGCAGTGAGGTACCGCGGCCGGGTCGGGCGACAGCCCCTTGACAGGCGACACTGCACAACCATCTGCATGCCAAACCACTGCAGACGGCTGTACGCTGCGCGCTCGCTCGCTGGGATGGCAGGACAGACCCGCCGGCGCAGTGAAACCCACCGCGGAGTGTCGAGGGCCCTAACGGTCCTAAAAGTCCGAGTGCACTTGGCCCGCCCCTGAGGGAGTGGACTCGGGACTCACGTGTGCCAAGTGACGCAACGGCGGGGCCGGGGCCGGGGCCGGCTCGGTGATGAGGCGAGTGCTCCGGCGGCGTCCTGTCCTGTCCTCTTCCGCACCCCGCACCCCCCCCCCCTCTTCGCCTCGCCCACTTCTATCACTCTCGCTTCCTTTCTCTGCTCGCCAGGGGTAGAACAAAAAAGGTCACAAGAACCACAGTTATGTGTCAGTCGTAATTTTTGGGGCCGTGTCGCCTCGCCGCGGCTTCTGCGGTCCCGTGACTCGGTCGCATTGGGATGTGCGGGGCCGGGCGGGCGGGCGTGCCGGGTACGGTCACCTCGGACCTCGGGTCGGGGCTGGGCTGGGCGCGCCCTGCGACTTCCGGGACACGTCAGCCTAGCACCCCCTGACGCCCGTGACGCACCACGGCCACGGCCTGCCCCCTTCCCTTTGGTGCGTAAGTCCCCTCTGGGTTTTATTCGCGAGTTATTGCAATTAAACCGTCGTCCTCTGTTTTGCAGTGGCTGCTGGGGCTAGCGCTGGCGCTGGGGCTGGCGGGGGCGGCGGCGGCCGGCGCGCGGGAGGCCCGGGGCGCGGCGGGCGCGACGGGCCGCAAGCCCTACTGCCGCAGCTACGGGGGCTGCTACCCGCGCTCGCCGGCCCCGCGGCCCCAGCCCGAATACCCCTACCTGCCCGCACCGCCGGGGAAGACGCCGCGCTGCGCCAAGCCGGGCGCAACCTTCTGCGAGACCGCCGACCACTACCCGGCGTGAGTATCAAGGGAAGCCCCGAGCTCCGCTCCGGCCCCCGCGGCCTCCCGGCCCCGCTCGAGGTCGAGCCGCCGCTCCGGGAATCGGCTCGAGTCTGGGGGGCGAGTCTAGCCGTCGCTAAGCCCCCCCCCCGGCTCAGCCCGGCGGCTCAGCCCGGCGGCTCAGCGGCCCCGTGGCTCAGCCGGGCGGAAGTACAACCCTGTCTGTATTGCAGGCGCCTGGTGCAGTACCTTATCGACCGCTGGGCCTACGACTTCAACACGCTGCTCAAGAGCGAAGACCCGGAGGAGTTCAACTTTAGGTCAGTGCAGGTGAAAGAGACGATCCGAGTACGGCAGCTGGCAACGGCCCGCTCCATTTTCTTTTTGTTATTGGTCTGTAAAACGGAAAGGGGCAAAAAGGTCGATTTATCTCCAGGTACCACTTTGTATACCACACTGGTAAAACAAGTGTGCATAATTTAAACACCAACGTGTGCAAGTTATGATTTCAAATAGGTACAATAATATTTAAATATTTTATCGGCGCGATACGGGATCGTGTACAAAGTACCAGGTGCACCTTTGTAATCGCTCCAGTGTTGCGGGCTTGCCTACTCTACTCCCTTCGCCCGCAAGGCACCCAGGCCCCTGCTGACCTAGCGAGTATGCTCTTCCGCAACACTGGGACTGGGGCACATTCAAATATATACACCAGGTAGATACGTCATGTCTTGTTACGAGCCTGCTGCTATGCTCAGCCACTGCAAGCTCATATAGCGCCTGATGGGTAGGCAACGTCTTGCCTTCAATGCATACGTGTGATGCGGGGTGGCCTACCCTAAGTCCCGCAGGCGCTGAGCTCCCGTAATTTGCCCCATGAATCTGGGTCCTGTGCGAGACCCTGTGCCCTGGCGCGGCCTTGAGTTTGCAGAACAGCAACAGTAGGCTAACCGCCACTCCGTCGCAGGTACCCCGTGACGTACGGCCCGTATGGGCCCTCCAACAACGCGCTGCTGGAGGGAAACGGCACTGGGTACAGCTACAGGCCGGCCCAGACCTACGGGCCGCCCCCGCACCCTGGCTACCCCGACAGGAGGTACCGACTGGACGTCTCTCAGACCTCCATCACCTACCCACCGCCCCCCGCGCCCCACCACCAGCAGCAAGTCTCCATCAACCCGACAGGTCCCGCTGCCGGCCCGGCCGAGTGGGCCAGGTGAGTACGCGTCGTAAACGATGGCATGGTGTTTTTTTTGGAGCATTTCGCTCATTTTAGCTTTTTTAATCAGAAGAAGGACAATATTCCAGAAAACGACAAACATACTGTTACAAATTTGAGAATACATTTTGCTAGGTCGACCCTTTCCGCCAAATCAATCTACTGTTAGCAATGTGTTCCCATAACTTGTCCTTTTGTAAATTTATTTAGCGTGTCTGAATCAACAATTGGCGTTTCGTGTCGACGGCCTTGCCGCTTGCCGCATCGCGGGCTCGCTTTAGCTGCCGTCCATCCAATCATTTTCACTGTCACGGTTATGGTTTCTTTCGCCGAATGGAATTGTTCATTATTCGCTATAGTCAGATAGTCTTGTCATCGATGACATGGATATCCTATTCGGCCTCGTGGATTCTCCATGAAACGATCTGTATTCCGCTGAGTGGCTCAGAGGCGCTTTTGGCACCGGTAGAACGATCAGTTGCTGCTATCCAAACTGTCATCATGGTTCGGCTACAGCTGCAGCTTTCATTAATCCATTAATCTACGTCTGTATCTTTACTCTCTTCATCCCCCAGTAGTTCTAAATAACATTTTACGGATTGAGCAGCTGACCAATTGGTAACAATTTTAACTGGAACACCAACAACAAATCGCGGACGCTCTGCATCGCCGAATGCGGCCTCGGGATCAAAATGTGAACGTTTACAATGATGCTCCCGCAGGTTCCGGCGGGACGCGACGAGGCGCCGAACCAAGAGGCAAGCCTCGGGCTCGGGCGCGACCACGCTTTGCCCCACATCGTCCAGCTTCGTGGCGCCGCAGGCCGCCCTCAACACGCAGGGCAACTGGATGTTCGTCGCCAACGTGCCGGACCAGCCGGCCGACCGACAGCAGCGCTACACTCAGTTTGTGCGCGCGGAGACCTGCGTGTAAGTACGGAAGGGCGCCGGGCGCCCGGCGAAGGTGACCGACCAGAGAGAGAGGGTACGATTGGCGAAGCTGCATCCCGTACCGTCCCGCCCCGCCACGCTTCTTCGAGCACGCTATCAATCTCACGCCTATTGTCCAACCGATATAGGCTGGCATGTCCGGTCGCAACCCTCGCGGCACCACGGCGGGCGAGGCGGGGCCGCGCTGGGCCGGCGAGGCGAAGGACTGAAGGCCGCTCAGTTGGCACGTGGCGTGAGCGGCGTGGACGCGATGCGATGTACGTGGGAACGAAACCTACTCAGCAACACGGCATGCAGCTGGCTCCTCTCGCCCCCGCCTCTTCTGTTTTAGGGTGGAGTTTAAGCGAAGTACCCCCTTTTTGTTTAAGTACTTGGGTCAAAATTCACTAGCGGATGTTCGGATTAATGTAATCTTCAGAAATAGAAGGAAGAGCAAAGTCCTTGTTTCCTCGGGTCCCGCCAAAATACTTCGCTCGTTTATTTCAAGAACTGCCTTTCTCACGCGTTTTGTTTTGACTTTTTATGGTTTCTTCATTCACGTCGAAAATCAGCCAGCCTTAGGAGGAAGCAGAAAGACTCGAGAGAGGCACCTCAAGCCTCTCGAGGTAATCCGTTGGTCGTCACTCGGAACACAAATAGATTCGAGAATTCATGGCGCATTCTTCATAGAATTTGCGTTCGAGACAGAAGAGTCCGGGAGGAACCTTCTAGACTGGATCCAAATAATTGCTTAGTGTAATGCGGTGCTCTGGGCAGTTCAGAAAGAACTTTAACGGCTATGAGCAGCGGCAAAGATCTATCTTCCCTTTCCGAAACACATCTTGAGATCAGCCAGCCCAAGTGCCCTTTATTGGGCGGTTTCACCTTCGGCCTCCATGTCGGATAGGGTTAACGTCGACCGTTGTGACTGGCGCCTGGCCGGGCGTACGGCCGGCCTCGAGTCGAGACCAACAAATGGCGGAGCCGGGCGTGTGAAACACTGTTCGTTAAACCTCGTCCAGGCAGTACAGTGAGCGGCGGTGGCCCGACCCGACCGACCCTCGGCACTGCACTCTCATCTCGGACTCACAACCCACCCACTCACATTGGCCCCCATTTACTGACAGGGTGAGAGGGGAGCAAACTCACCGTACCGATGCTCGGGGGCGGGGGGCTTGTCCTGTCCGGCAGGCACCGCAGCCCCGACCAACCCGACCCACCCTCGCCTCGCATTTCGGTCCCCTCCTGCAGCCCCTGCGCACGACCAACGAAAGCCTTTGTCTGGAAAGTTGTTAGCGATCGCCAGTGAGGCGTGGCAGTGCGGCGCGGCGTACCTGAGCTTCCCTGTCGCTCTGTTGCAGGTCCAGCGAGTGCAACGGGCTGTGCTCGCTGCCCAACGGCTACACGTCCCGCTGCGAGCAGCAGTTCGTCCAGAAGCGCCTCGTGGCCCTGGGCGGCGGCGGCGACCGCCTGTACACCGACAACTTCTGGTTCCCGCACTGCTGCGTGTGCCAGATCAGCGCGCCGCAGGGCGGCTAGGACAGGGCGGCGCCCCCGGGCCCCGGCCCCGACCCCGGCCTCCAGGACGCCGCCGGCCTCCAGCCCCGCCCCCCGGGGCCGGGACACAGCGCGGACGCCGAGCCCGCACCCGGCCTCGCCGACCGGCGTCGCATCCTGGTCAGCCCGTGGGTGCCGCTGAACGCCTTCTTCCTCGTGTTCCTGCCAGTCGCGGTGTTCTGAGCGGAGAGTGGACAGACTTTTACACCGACCGCAGTGGAGTGCAATGAGTTGGAGGGCTGCGGTCCCGTCGCACCGCCGCGCGCCACCGCGCTGGGCCTGCTTCAGGAGCCTGGAGCCTGGAGCCATGCAGCGCTGGCAGCGGCGAGCCCGCCCGCCCCGCCCCGCTGCACCCGCGTGAGAATGAGGCTGTGGTGAGAGGCGCGCGCCGCGCTTGCTGCCCCCGCCCCCCCGCGCGACTACGCCGATGACCACGAGCGGGGCCGCCCCGCCCGCCTCACCTCACGCCGCTTTCCGCCGGACCCACCGGCGGCGGTGTTTTACTTATGAGAGTGACGATGAAAAAAACTGGAGTGTTCCTCTACGGCTGCGCGCTCGTACCGGGCTGGCGATGCCGCGAGCGCACTGAGGCTGTTAACACGTCGAGATTGGACCCCGGCTGCACGGCGGTCGTCTACCCCGATACAGCGGCGGATAGAGACGCCTTCCTACCGTGTAGGTCCTGAACTCTCTCCCAGCGCCCAGCCTGTTTCAATGTGTTCATCGATTTGTTTGTATATTGTCCACGTCGACTCAACATTTCCTTCCGTGTACTACAAAATACCGCTGGAGACTAGCCCTGGACAATATTGCAGGTGTGCTTGCAACTTACAATGAAGGCCACACTTTTCATTTTTCTTACATGTGCAGTTCCGATTTAGTCGACTTCACCACCTTATTCGACTAAACCAAGGTCTAAATATAAGATTTTTTTCTTTCTTTCGACAGCGTACCGTTGGTATGTCCTATATTAACAAGATTAACAGCCCGCCATCACGTCGATTGTAAAATTGAATTAAATTATTTTTTATGATCGCTGTGTGTTTTTCTTTATCGGTAAGCTTCTGTAAGTTTTCCGTTTGCCACAGATCTCGTTCTGCGACAAAATTATTTCCGTGGAGACACCTGAGCCAAAGCGCGCGCGAAGCGATGCGCGGGGGTCCACGAGGTCACCCTGCCACGCCACTCCACGCCACACGCCACGCAACCGCGATGCCAGGCCGCGCTGGGCCGGCGGGTCTGTTTTTACTCCTAGCACGTTCCCCTGTTTGGGAGGGGCCAGGCCGAGCCAGCCAGTTTGTCGGGGTTTCGCGCAACTGACTTAACAGATCATAGGTGACACACACACAAGGAAGTTCAAGAAGCTAACGGTCTTATTATTATTATTACAGTAGTGTAAGGAATAAATTACAAGTCAATTGTTAGGTTTTGGTTATGGCCCCCGTCGTTCTCGTCGTCCCGCAATCGTCGCCCCTTCTCAGCTCGGTGTGTGCAGTCTCGTGTCGCTTAGCTCTTGTCCATCGCGCCCATGAACTTCTTTATGACGTCGCGGAACTGGAACAGCAAAAGCCGTTGTTGACACCGACTGTCCCGCCCGCCCGCCGTGGATAGAGGTCATCGCTCCTCTTTCCTTCCCGCTCGGTACTCACGATCTCGGACTTGTCGTAGCCGCAAGTGAAGAAGTCGTAGCCGAGGACGCAGTCCTTCTTGCCCTTGACTGCAAGCAGAGAAGCTCATGAGCGTTTGATTGTGCGGCAGCAGCGCCGTCATTCAAGCGGCGCCATGGTGGGAAATGGACGACTCGAGGAAAGAGGAATCTGCATAAGCGCTTTGGCAGTTTTCCCTCCCCTCGTCCGGCCCCGCCCCGCGGGCCTCCACCCTGGAGCCCGCAAGAGGCCCAGCCAAACGCGGGTTTCAGCTGCTGACCCTTTTTTCGACACCCACTTCCTCCGCCACCTCCACGCCAGCCAGGCCCCGGCTGCCGCCCCCGCCCCCGTCCCCCGGGCCGGGGCTTGGGGCTCCACGTAAAGCGGATTTGGTCGGGCGGAGTCCTGCTAACTAAAGCACGCCGCGAGGTTTGTTGACTTTAAGTCCGTGTCTGTCCGGGCGGATGGGGCGGGCGGCGGGCCAGTTCGCGCCAAAGTCGGAGATCGACCAGTGAGGTCTGTCACCTCGGGCGGAACCGGAGGGGCCCGAGCGAGGCTGGATTGGGACCGAAAGCTCTCGTCGATGCAGGTGAACGACTTCAGATTCATCACGACGCAATTATGAGAGGTGGAGGTGGGTGGTAGCGATATGGCAAAAGAGGAGGTCCTTGGAGGGTCGTTAGTGAAAGAGATCGGGACCAGCGATGGCTGAGAATAAATCAAAGGGTGGCAGCCAGTGTGGCTTGGGGCATTTGTGAGAGGGAGGGGGTGGAGCTAGTGCGAGAGACAAACGAAGAGTGAGGGACTGCACATCGAAACGCAGTCAAGCTACTCGAAAGCAGCGTACACGCCCGCCCAGAGGGCTGTAGTCACTAATCTCAAATTGATCGCGCACTCACCCTCGGGCTCGCACAGCGGCTTGACCCGCTGCCACTCGTCGGACCACTCCTTGATTTCGAACTCATCGACGGCCGCGGTGAAGGCTTCCACGTTCGCCTCGCCGGCGTCGGTCATCTGAAACGGAAACGCCACACAACGAGGTGAGAGAGAGGGTGAGAAGGGGGTGGAGCGAATGCATGACACACGGCGGGAAGGGAAGGCGGTTGGGTGGCCTAAGCGTCGGGCGCTGTGCTGCCAACGGGGCTCCGTTAGAACCCTGAGACGCTCTGGAGAAAGTGTGTGTGTGTCGAGGGGAGGGAGGGGGGGGGGCGATCCGGGTGATTTGGACACGTGGTCCGCTGATATGAGGGGGCCGTTAGCCAGGAAACCAGCGTAAGATGGTCTGCCAAGGAAACCGAGAGGAGAGGAGAGCAGAAGAGTTGAAGGGAGTGCGATGGTCTGGCACGAGCTAGGTCTGCCTCAAAGCGGGCTCTGGAGCGCGCGCGGGAGGGGTTGGGGGTACGTGAAGTGAAGGGGTGAGCTGAGTGGAATCCATGGGGCCGGGCCGGGTCTCGGCGAACCAGCTATCGTTACTTACAACTTTGGCCTTCTTCGCGACGCAGGCGATCACGCACTGAAAAAAAAGAGGAAACCGGTAAAACGTAGCAAGGGGAAAAAAGCAATACAGAGAAAATACCCCATTTGTCGGATTAAGTACTATGAATTATTTGCTAACCTTGCAGGGCTGGTACTTATCAGCTGAGTTGTCGTTGCCCTCTTTCATCATTTCTTTGCAAACACCTGAGAGTCACAAAGACGTAAGTTATAGTTCTCAAACGACCGAACAAGTGAAAAACCGTTTAAAGAGATGAACGTGTATGGGCTTCAAAAGGTTGAAACCTCAAAACGTAAACGTACCCACTTCGGCGTTGAGCTCCTTGGCGCACTCAAGAGTGTATTTGAGGTATCGAGGCATCAGCTCCTTTTTCTTGTCCGCCTGTGCACACGAGTTAAGGAGAGGTTATTGTGATCAAAGTTACCGTCAAAGAGCAAACTTATACTCTTCTCGAAAAGGGGGAGGTCAATCCATCAAGGGGCTCGACACGTCAGAGAGGCAAACCTTTCCCCTTTTCGCACTCCGGGCCGGAGCGGCTAAGGGCGTGGCGCGGGCGCACCGGGCCAAGCAGACCCTGCGTCTCGCGAAGTGACACGTTCATGGAAGTTGTTCCCCAAGTCTCGTGAAAAAGGGCGTAACGGTCGGTGGAAACTAGGCAGGCTGGCCTGGCGGCTGGGGGGCCGCCGCCCCGCGGCCACGCCCCCGCCCCCGCACCCTGGAGGGCCCGCACATCGGGGCAAGTTCCCAGGAGTGCTGGCCTTTTGCGGAAATGTTGAAATTGCAGCCAATATAAGTGACGTTTTATTTGAAGTAAGTCTTATGTGTTAAAATTTTGTTGTTTGGCAAAACCAGTTTGTCGACATATTTGACGTATTCCACGTATCATTTTCAAATGCTAAAACTATTTTGTTTCGTGTAGTGAAGGGAGTGCAGCGAGGAGTGCAGTAAAATTTTCGATCTGGTGCCTTTCGGGTGCTGCCATCTATGGGGTGGTCGGAGTCAGAAGAAAGTGGACGTGGACGCGGACATCAAGCCTGACCTTCGTCTATTACAAGATGAAAACGAAACATTTCTCTTCACTGGTAAGTTATACTTGACATAAAATAGGGCCTTCACTCTTAATCTGTCTGAAAATTGAAAAATCTTGTTTGAGTCATCGATCCCCCCAAAAGAAACTCTTCCTGGGCATGGATAAATATATTGAGACGCGAAGTGAGGTTAGTTTGTCTGCACTCCCTCTCGTTAAAAACTAGTGCTACATGCTCAGCCACTTGGAACAATCTTACCAGAGATAACAGGAAAAGGTTTTATAATTTCCGCGTCGTAAAATTACGAAAGTATAGCAGAAAGTGGCGTAAAATTTCATGTTGTTTTTTTTTGCAAAACTATTTATCGACTGTCCTGCTCGACGCAAGATTACGACATCGATCAAAAATTTTCGCCATTCGTCGTAAAGTGGAAATTTAGGTAACTTATGGTAAAGTTGTCTTTGCACTTGTTACAGAACGTCTTGTACTGGCAGTATCAAAAGACTTTCGCCGTGTCCTAGTGGTGTGAAGCGTGTTCAGCCCAGCTGTAGGCAGCAGTACCTGGGCCAACGAGGCCATGGCGATGAGGGCCGCGGCCGCCAGGACGGTGTATCCCTGCATGGCGCTGGTAGCACGAGGGAAGAGGTGAGTATCACAGAAAAGGGTTCTCGACGTGCACGGCGCGACGCGGCCGGACAACGACTCAGTCTGACGGGTAACTCGACAATCGGTGGCACCGGTCGCCGGGCAGCGCTTAAATACCTGATCCGGGGCCTAACGTGTGGCGTCGCTCCATTGGGCATCGCCATGGCGGCGTCCTGGAGGCCTCGCGTGGCACCCGGGGCCCGCCGGGAGTGGCGGGGGCGGGGCGCGGGTTGCAGCCGATGGTAGATAAGGACAGCCGGCCGGATGACAGCCGCGCTTCCCGCGTTCCATTCATGTGTGTAAAGGGTACAAGATTTTTATTGAATATTTTTTGATTGGAGGAGGCAGGGTGGGGGATGGTTCTTTATTCAGAGCCCGGGTGTTTGCCAAATAGTGTATCCAAGCTAGTCGGTGAGGACAACCAAGTGGTAGAAAACAAAAAGCGTGTATAGCTGTTGAAAGTAGTGCTGTTTGCCTACTTCTCAGGCCAGGCTAAAAGTGGTGCTTTTTGCCCTGGCTTTGTCCAGAATCGAATGACGCCACCGTCCTGAATTGTTCCCCCCATCCCCACTCGGATCCACGCCAGGAGTGCACTATTAATAAGTGTCCTCTGCTGCCATTTAGTCTGCAATGCACAACCTAAAAGCGTATGCAGTGCGGCTGTCAGCGTCAGCATCGCCTGACCGGGGGGCTGAAGGGGAAGCACCTGTCATGTCCTCACCGCGGAGTCAGTGTTCGAGGGAGGGCGTGGGGGAGGACGGGGAGGGCTACCGGGCTGTCCCTGGCTGCGAGCGGAGCCCAGCAGCAGCGCGCGAAGGATGCCGCGGCTTGTTTTCGCGTGATGTAGATACGGCTTTGACATTGGGGGGCCCGGTCGTGTGATGTAGCAGATACCCTGTTAGCCGACTGACATTGCTGGTTCCGGTGTTGGTATTGAGGACATATACGCGGCGGCACGAAGGCTGGCCGCGCCGGTTGCAGCAGCACCGCGCCACCCCGCCGCGCCACCCCGCCGCG